GTGATCCCATGGACTGGAGCCCACCAGGCTCCTCTGTTCATGGGATTCTCCAGGCAAGAATACTGGAGTGGGTTGCCATTTCCTCCTCCAGGGCATCTTCCCAACCCAGGGATCCAACCAAGGTCTCCTACATTGCAGGCAGATTCTTTACCATCTGAGCTAAAAACAAAAAAAACAAAAAAAACCCCAATGCAGCAAAAAGACAGAACCATGATCTGCAGGAGAAAAGAAACCAGATAAAGGAACTCTATCCAAAACAGCCATCAAAATTTAAGTGCTTTTTTTTCCAAATGCAGTAAACCCACTTCTAGAAATTCATCCTTAGGAAAGCCTAGAACCGGACTGAAGGCTGGAAATCATTTGAGTATCTTTCAGTGGGGAGGTGGTTATGATATGTACATTATGTTATGAAATTGATATGGCCAATGAAGTAATATGCAGCCACACACACACAGTGAGGGAGAGAAAGAGAGATTTTTTTTCTAAGTTGAAATCTTTTGTTTTACTAGATTTTTAAAATTTAGTATTATTTGGCTGCACCAGGTCTTAGTTGCAGCCCTTGGGATATTTCACTGTGACAGACAGACTGTCTAGCTTCGGCTTGCCAGATTAGTTGCTCTGCAGTACATGGGATCTTAGTTCCCTGACCAAGGATTGACCCCATATCCCCTGCATTGCAAGGCAGATTGTTAACCACTGGACCACTAGGGAAGTCCTGAGAGACATTAATGTCGCAAAAGCTAAAGATGGATGATTTGGATAATGATGATGTTTGATTGGGTCCATATAACATTTTTTTAAAGTGTGAGCAACATTAAAAAATCAAGTGATTGTACTTAAACACCCAGATTTCAGGTAGCTCTTGCTTTCCATTCCTCCTGGGCACCAAGTCCTAAAGCCAAGGAGCAGCTGCCCCCTTTAGATGAGGCTTGTATCCCCCTGCCAGTCTCCGCCACTCCCTGTTGTCTCCCTGACCCTGAGTCTGGGGTCAGGGCAATGGTCACTGTCCTTGTATTATAGCTTCCCTTAGCAAAATATTGCACTATTCTCTGTCTTTGTCAAAAACAGAGAAACAAAAGGCGGACTACAGGAGCCATATATCTCAAAGAAAATGAGAGGGAGCCTATTTCTTTGTGAAAAGGAAGACTGTGCCTCTGAGTTTCACTTGCAAATCCTGGGGCAATTCACTTATTTATTGTTTAGTATTATACATTATTTTTTATTGATGTTGATACATTAGTTACCTGGCCCCTGTTGGCATTTTGGGTTTGCTACCCTTGATTAATACAATAGCAACATGATTCTTTTTTCCCCCTTTGGCTAAAATGACAACAGCCACAAAATTAAAACAAATTCCTTATACATATATTTATATACACAGTGCGTGAGTGCGTGCTAAGTCGTTTCAGTCGTGTCTGACTCTGTGCGACCCCATGGACTGCAGCTGCCAGGCTCCTCTTTCCATGGGATACGCCAGGCAAGAATACTGGAGTGGGTTGCCATTCTCTTCTCCAGGGGATCTTCCCGACCCTGGGATCAAACCCACGTTTCTAAGGTCTCCTGCATTGGGAGGTGGGTTCTTTACCCCTAGTGCCACCTAGGAAGCCCCTGTATACCCAGGACATACACGAAATGGCAACAGTGATTATCTAGACTTAAGGAAGACCTATCCATTTTTATATTATGTACTTCTAATATTTCCTGTTTCTTAGAACAAATATATAGTTTTGTGATTTTTTTTAAAGATTATAATTTAAAAAGTGATAAGTGAAAACTCTTGGCTGAGGGAAGCTTTCACAAGAAGTTGTAAGACTTATCTCTCTTTATCTTGACAAGCCTGGGGGAACAGGCAAATGTAGTAGAACCTGAGCAACTAGAATGCCCACAGGAAAATATACCTTTTCTGTCCTAAGCACCAAGAAGAACCTGTATCAGGAAAGGGAAGACAGCTACCAGCTACTGGAAAGTGACTGCCAGACTCTGGGCATGCTGGTTGTGCTACCTTACAGAATTCTTGTGCCAATTTGGGGGGTGGTGTTAGCATTCTTCCTCCTTTTTTTTTTTTAATTCTGGCTGCATGTCAAGTCTTGTGGGATCCCCAACCAGGGATAGAACCAGGGCCCTTGGCAATGAAACTGCAGAGTCCTAACCACTAGACTACCAGGGAATTTCATTTCCTTCCATCCTTCCATTTTTAAAAGCAGTTTTATTCAGGTATACATGATATGCCATCGAATTTGCCCATTGTAAATGCTATGATTTTTCACTTTTTCATTGAAAAGGTCACCTTTTCAATGATTTTTAGCAAATGTGCACTTGTACCAGCCTCATTGCAATTCAATTTTAGAACATTTCCATTACTCCAAAAAGACCCCTGATGCAAATTTGTGGTCATTTCCCATTCCCAAGTTCCAGGCCACCTCTCATCTGCTTTCTATCATTTCCACCTTTTCTGGACATATCATATAAATGAAATCAGACAATATGTGGTCCTTTGCTTTTGGCTTCTTTCACCAGATCTGTTTTGAGTTTCATTCATGGTGTTGCCTGTATTAGCACTCTGTTCCTTTGGAGAGCCAAATAGTGTTCTCTTGGCTGGAGAGGCCACAGCTCCCTCCCCAGCCGATGGACATTTGTTATTCCCACCTCTTGCCTGCTGTAACTCTTGCCGCTATGAATGCTCCTGTACAAGTCTTTGCGGGGCATGGACTTTCATTTCTCATGGGTAGATACCTAAGAATGGAATTTCTGGGTTGTATAGGAGGACCCCAGGGATGGAGGAGCCTGGTGGGCTGCCGTCTATGGGGTCGCACAGAGTCGGACATTACTGAAGCGACTTAGCAGCGGCAGCAGCCTAGTAGATGTACGTTTAATTTTTTAAGGAGCTGCCTAACTGTCTACGAACATGGCTGCACCATTTTATATTCCTTCCACCTGTATAAGGCTCTGGTCTCTCTTGCCAGCCCTTTGCGCTTGAAGACTATTCAAATGGAGCTGGGAGGAGAAAGACTTGCCAAAATCACGCAACAGGGAATGGCAGAATGGAATTTGAACCCAGGTTGACCTGACTCTACAGGCTGTGTCTTTCCCCTGGTCTGCTCATGTGAACGGACTTGCACAAAGTTCAGGAGTTGGAGACTGTAAAGAGGTTGATCTCTGGGGTCTGCCAGGCTGGGGTTCCAGGAAGAACAACCTGTAAGAAGGGGCTTGGAGAAGTCGAAGGAGTAATTGGAGAGGGCTCCTCAGCAGGCGCTGACTCAAACCTCCACTAGGGGGCGCGGGGATCCAGCAGCGGCTGGAGATGGGCCTCTGTCAGAGAAGGCAGCCATGGAGGCCAGCCAGCCTGGTCTTGGCCTTCAACAGTACACACTGCCTGGCACTGGGTGACCTTCTCTCTGCCCCAGCCTGCATTTCCAAGCAGCCATGCCCCTGCCCCAAACATTCTGTTTTCCTATTTGGGCCTGGATATGTCCCCTTTTAATGGCTTCTCTGGTGGCTCAGTGGGTAAAGAATCCACCTGCAATGCAGGAGACACAGGAGACGTGGGTTCAATCCCTGGGTTGGGAAGGTTGCCTGGAGGAGGAAATGGCAACCCACTCCAGTGTTCTTGCCTGGAGAATTCCATGGACAAAGGAGCCTGGCAGGTTACAGTCCAAAGGGTCCCAAAGATTCAGGCATGATGGAGCAACTAAGCACGCATGTCCCCGTTTCCCCCATCCTTGGCCTCCATGGGAGGAAGGATGGGCTCTTCTGTCCCAGCCCCAGGGCCTCCACCTCTTTCTGCCAACTTCGGGGTTCACATGAAACCCTAGAGGATTGAAGGAAGAGACAAGGTCCATCTGCTGGCTGCCTCAGAACCGTCTGTCATACAGCTCACTGTTGGTCTTGCCTCAAGACGGATGCCCAAGGAAGTGTGACCTCTCCATCGCAGAGAGGGTTGGCCAGCAGGTGGCGCAGTAGCGCCTGGGATCCTCGCTCCCTCACCCATGACTCACCTTTGTAGAAGGATGGCTTTGGCCCCAGAAGGCAGTCCCATGGACAAGTGTCTAGACCACCCATCCATGTCTTCTTTGCAAGTGATCTGGAAAAAGGGAGGAAGAACAAGGTGTGCATTTATTGGGCACCAACTACATGCCAAAGCTCTTTCATTCTTTTGACCCTCATAACATCCCTGAGAACTAAACACTCACCTTTCCCCTGAGAAAACAGACTCAGAGGTCAAATAGCTCACCCCACATCTCATGGACTAAATGGTAAGGCTCTGGTCCCACCTATCGCACTCAGTAAACTTAATGGGTAGGCGGTGCCCGGGACAGTGTCAGGCATGGGGAAATGACTGAGCCTCACTGAGCTGCAGCCACCCCATCTGTAAAATGGGGCTACAAGACCCATGTTGTGCAGATGAGATGAGATCCCCACGTGAGGGATTCGCATGGGGCCTGGCCTGGCAGGGATGAGCAAAGAGATGGTTAGATTATTTCGTGGGACTGGGAAATTTTCCAGGCTAGTGATCAGAGCCTGCTAGTTTCCAGTTTCCTCTAGCCCCCTGGAAGTGTTGCTATTTTTGATGTTCTGATCTTCTGCCATTTGGGTCTGTCCCCAACTGCTTCTCAGGAGACAGAGGAAGGGTAGAAACCCTAGAGGACCTGAGAGTCCTGCTCTTCTGGGGCAACCCCCAAATCCACTGCTGATTTCGCAGCCTCAGGGGGCAAATTCCAGCTGGCATGATGGACCCTAGCGGAAAAATGTCTAGGGTCCCCAAGGCCTCCTTCTGCCCACCCTCTTCATTGCTGCCTCCCTAGAGCCTTGCCCATCCTTCAAGGCTGTCGGGCATCCCCTTCCAGGCAGCCTCCTCACGAGTCTGCCAGCCCTCATGGCTCAATGCTCAAGGCATTGTGGGAACCGGAGGCCTGGGAGCTCTGCCCAGGGGAGGAGCAGGGATCCCCTGGGGACAAGCCCTGGCTGGCACGATGCAAGCTGTGGTCTCCCCGACCCTGCAGAGGAGGCGCTATGGACGACGCGGGCCGACGGGCGCGTCCGCCTACGCATAGACCCCATCTGCTCGCAGACTCCCCGCACTGTTCATCAGATGTTCTCCACGACTCTGGACAAGTATGGGGACCTCAGTGCTATGGGCTTCAAGCAGCAGGGCACGTGGGAACACATCTCCTACACCCAGTACTACCTGCTGGCCCGCAAAGCCGCCAAGGGCTTCCTGAAGGTGAGGGAGCTGCCCAAGGCCTGGCCTCTCCCTTCCCCAGCCCTGCCTCCAGTTCTGGCCTTCACAGACCTCGTTCCGATGCCCCACTGGGCAAGCCCTTAGAAAGGACCACTGTAAAATCATCCTGGTCATTGAGCTAATGGTCCATTCTGGCTTGGGGCCGAGGGTTTATGTACAGTGGACCCTTACTATGTGCCAAGACGTGGCACGAACTTCTTATTTGTTGTCCCGCTCAAGGGGGGCTGGGAAGCCTGGTGCACTGCTCTGGGGGTGGGGACTCCGGGAAGGCCTGGGAGGGGCAGCAAGGGCTGTTGAGTGGCTGGTCCCCCAGGGCACACTCTGACCCTGGGAGCTGGTCCCTGAGGTGGGCCGGCAGAGTCCCCTGCTGTCTGGAAGGGGGGTTTGGTGAGAATGAGAGGCCCCTTTCCTGCTGGTTGACCCGGCCTGTCTATCTTTGGCCTGGAGCTCGGCCTGGAGCGGGCCCACAGCGTGGCCGTCCTCGCCTTCAACTCCCCGGAGTGGTTCTTCTCAGCAGTGGGCGCAGTATTCGCAGGGTGAGTGGCTGCTGGAGGGGCAGAGTCTCCAGTGGGTTGGAGGGGGGCAGAGAGTGAAGAGAGGGTTTTTATCTCTTTTTAGGGGCCCTTCACCCCCTCCCCAACATCCCATCTCTTCCCTGGGGCCCTCTCCAGACCCGCTTTTGTCCCCTTCTGCCCAGGGCAGCTGTGCTGAGCTGCTTGGCCGGCCACGGGAGCTCTCTGGGGTCAGGGGCTGTGGGTGTGTTGGGCAGGGGTCGGGGCTGAGGGGTTGGGCCACTGTACTCGCCCAGACACGCATCCTCCTGGATCTCTGACAGTGGCATCATCACCGGCATCTACACGACCAGCTCCCCTGAGGCCTGCCAGTATATCGCCTATGACTGCCGCGCCAACATCATCATGGTCGACACACAGAAACAACTGGAAAAGATCCTGAAGGTTTGGGGGAAAGGGGGCAACAACCACGAGGGTCTGGCTAGGCATCCTCGCAGACCTCCACCTTCCCTGTCAGAGTCACCCATCATCCTCAACAGCAATCCTGCCTTGCACACGCACACATCAGCACAGCAGGGCAATGGCCACCGACCCATTTGTCAGGTCTGAAAACTGAGGCTCAGGAAGCTCAAGGAACATACCCCTCATCCTCCCCAGCCAGCCCATGGCCCTCCAGGCTTTCGCTTCAGGGAGGGGTTGAGTGCCCTGAGGGTGGTTCAGGGCTCTGACACGTGAGCACCCAAGTATGAGTCTCGGTGGGGAGTGGGGGTACAGGCTGCCACAGGGTGGGTCTTGGGCCAAGCCAGAGCAAGTGCTGCAGCATATTCTAGAGACTGTAGGGCACAGTAGGAGCTCAAAAGTGCTTCTTGGGGCAGCTGGCACTTTCTGGAGCACTGATGCCTCCTGATCCATTTAAGGCCCCTTCCTGATTGGCCCTGTCCCCATGTGCACCACGCTGGCATTCAGTGGCCTGAGGACACCTCTGTGCCCCAGCTGCGCCCAGCAGCCTACAAGGCCCTCCGTGGCTCCTGGCATCTCAGAGAGGCTTCCTCCAGGTTGACTTGGCCCTGGTTCTGGAGCTGTCACCTGGACCTCAGACACCCCTGCACCTGAGGGTGGGAGAAGTGGTCTCCAACCTCCTGGGACAGTGGGACCTGGGGCCCCGGACTGGTCAGACTAGATGGCCTCCCTTAACTCAAGTGGAGAAGGCCTTTTCCGTCTCCACTCCTTTTGAACCCTGTGTTTCCACGGTTCTCTCATTCCGAGTGCCTCCGTTCTATCTGACTTGGATCAATGCTTGAGTTGGGGAGAGGCAGTCTGGGTGCAGAGGAGGTGGTCCAGAGTGAACCGCTCTGAGAGGCTGAGGTGAGCCTGGGCTGTCCTTAGCACCCCCTTCCTTGCCCTCCCCAAGCACTCAGACTCTTCACTTAATAGAGTGTCCCAAGTCACTTCAGTTGTGTCCGACTGTCTGCGACCCTATGGGTTGTAGCCTGCTGGGCTCCTCTGTCCATGGGAATTCTCCAGGCCAGAATACTGGAGAGGGAAAGAAGCCTTTCCCTTCTCCTGGGTAATCTTCCCAACCCAGGAATTGAACCAGGGTCTCCTGCATTGCAGGCGGATTCTTTACCAGCTGAGATCCAAGGGAAGCCCTCACTTAATAGAAAGCTGACAAATATTTAGAGAATAGTGCACAGCAGGGGTGTACCAGGCCCCTAGGACTCAGTGGGACCCTGATTCGCTCAGGTTTAGATTCTTTGTAGGTGCCAGAGGCCGCTGACCCAGGTTCCCCCCAGGCCAGCTTTCCCGGAGACCCCAGTGGTTTAAGATTCCTTGAGAACCAAGTTGGCAGAAGCCTCAGCTGCTAAGTAGCAATGGTTAGTTCACCTCCTCAGCCTCGCCCGAGGGAATCACATACCCCTCAACGTGGGCACTCAGGTTAGGGAGGGTGGTAGAACCAGAAAAAGCCCCCCATAGTGACTTCCCTGGAGGCCCAGTGCTTCCAATGCAGGGGGCAGCACAGGTTCAATCATTGGTTGAAGAGCTAAGATCCCACATGCTGCACGGCCAAAAAAAGAATTTTTTTAATTAAAAAAGCACCCCCCCAAATAGATTTTGCTCCCTCCCTCAGGGAGACAACCCCCTCTGCATAGACGGTTGATCTGATCCAAAGGCCCTCCCCCTGCCCCATTCACCACTGAAGAAACTGAGGCCCAGACCTACTGAATCAGAAATGTCCGCCCTAGGCAATTACTTAAAATTTGTGTTCTGAAACTTTCCAGACAAACAGAAATAGAGGGAAGAGTATAGTGGACCCTCATAGAGTGATCATCCAGATTTAATAATCATCAATGTTTTTCCATCACACCCATCAGTGTGAAGCATTTGAAGGCAAATCTCTGACATCACAGCATTTCACCCCCTAAATAGCTCAATATTTATAAAACATAAGACAGTTTCTTCACCACAGTAACTTTATCACCTTTATTTACACAAGTCAAAGAATTCTTTCCTATCGTCTTAATACCAACAATGTGTTTTTCCGGGCAATTCGTTTGAATCAAGATCTAAACCAGGCCCATGTGTTGCCTTTGGTGGTGTCTCTTAAGAGTCTTTTAATTCAAAAACAAAGCCCCCACCTTTTGTCCTGTACCATAGACCAGTGCAGTCCAGGACGAGTCACATCACCCAGGAACTTAGTTTCAGAACCCACCCAGACCTACGGATTCTAAAAAACAGGGTGTGGGGCCCACGCCTCCTGGTGATTCTGACACAGGCTCAAGTGTGAGAGCCTCTGTTATAGACATGCTGCAGAAACTAGGTCAGCCGTCCTGAGTTGTTGTGTAGCTTGTCCCTGTAACCTCCACACTTCCTATTAGATGGCAAACCTTGATGCCCTTCAGATTAGATGGTAATTGGCAAAAACACCCCATAGGTGGTGTGTGTACTTCCCATTGCACAGCTTCAAGAGGCATGTGATGTCAGGGAGTACCGCTTATACTGATGCTGAGCTTCATTCCCTGGATTCGGGTGGCCACCCGCTCATCCACTGCAACATTCCCCATCACTCTCCACTGATGAACTTTGCCTGAATTAATTACTATTAAATACTTGAGCCATGGGAAAACACTGGTTTTCTAATTGATCAGTTAGGATTCTTTTCCAAAGAAAGAACTCTCTCTCATCATCTGGGGCTCTTTGCTACCTGAGACACCCTGATTGTACCAAGTAGATGTGGTAGATAGAAAACTGGCCTATGTTGGTGACTGTTCCATGCATATTTGAATGAATGTGCATTTTTCAGTTTGTTGGGTAGAATGTTCTATAAATGTTAATAATGTCAACTTGATGGATATGTTGTTTAACTCATCTATATCCCTGTTAATTTTCTATCTGTTTTTTCTATTGGTAACAAATACTGAGGGTTGAAATCTCAATTATTATTGTGGATTATTTATTTATCCTTTTAAATCTGGTTTTGCTTTGTGTATTTTGAAACTATCATGTATACACATAGTTATGTTGTTATGTCATCTGGATGACTTAACCCCTTTATAATTAAGAAATGTCCTTTTTTACCTCTGAGAACCACTCTTCCAAAGCTACTTTGTCTTATATAAATATAGCCACTGCAGATTTCTTCTGATCAATGTTTGCATGGTATACATTTTTGCACTATTTTTCTTTTAACCCACATATGTCCTTATATTTAAAGCAAGTCTCTTATAGACAGAGTATAAGAGTCATACTTGCATAGTTGAGTCATACTTTTTATCTAGTCTGACAAAATTGTCTATAAAACTACCACTTGGTTCTTTCCTATTTGTTCTTTGATCCCATCCATCCCTTGATCCTTTTCTCCTCTCTTGTGATTTCTTTTGAATGGAGTTTTGTGTTTTCATTTTATTTTTGAGTATTCCATTCTATGGGTTTCCCTGGTGGCTCAAAATTCTCCAAGCCAGGCTTCAACAGTACATGAACCATGAACTTCCAGATGTTCAATCTGGTTTTAGAAAAGGCAGAGGAACCAGAGATCAAATTGCTAACATCTGCTGGATCATCGAAAAAGCAAGAGAGTTCCAGAAAACACCTACTTCTGCTTTATTGACTACGCCAAAGCCTTTGACTGTGTGGATCACAATAAACTGTGGAAAATTCTTCAAGAGATGGGAATACCAGATCACTGACCTACCTCCTGAGAAATCTGTATGCAGGTCAAGAAGCAACAGTTAGAACTGGACATGGAACAACAGACTGGTTCCAAATTGGGAAAGGAGTTGAAGCTGAAACTCCAATACTTTGGCCACCTGCTGAGAACTGACTCAAAAAGACCCTGATGCTGGGAAAGATTGAAGACCAGAGGAGGGGATGACAGAGGATGAGACGGTTGGATGGCATCACCGACTCAATGGACATGAGTTTGAGTAAACTCCGGGAGTTGGTGATGGACAGGGAGGCCTGGCGTGCTGCAGTCCGTGAGGCCGCAAAGAGTCTGACGCAACTGAATGACTGGTGGCTCAGATGATAAAGAATTTGCCTGCAATGCAACAGATGTGGGTTCAATCCCTGGGTCAGAAAAATCCCCTGGAGAAGGGAATGGCAACCCACTCCAGTATTCTTTTCAGAAAAATTCCATGGACAGAGGAGCCTGGTGGGCTACAGTCTATGGGGTCATAAAGAGTGGGACATGACTGAGCGACTGACACTTTCACTTTCATCCATTCTATCTACTGGCTTCTTAGCTCTCCCTCTGGTGTTTGCTCTAGGGCTTACAATATGCATCTTTAAAGCATCACAGTCTACTTTCAAATACTGTTAGAATGTAATGTTGTACTGCTTTGCAAGTGACATATGAATCTTACAGCAGTATACTTGTGTCCCCATTCCATACTTTGTGCTATTATCATTCATACTCAACTTCTATGTAAGTTATAACCCCCGCAATGTAGTATCTTATTTATTTACTTATTTATTTATTTGGCTATGTCAGATCTTAGTTGCAGCACTTGGGATCTTCGATCTCCATTGTGGCATGGGAGCTCAACTCTTCGTTTTGACATGTGGGATCTAGTTCCCTGACCAGGGATTAAACCTGGGCTCCCTGCACTGGGAGAATGGAGTCTTAGCCACTGGACCCACCAGAGAAGTCACTACAATGTAGTATTTAAATAGTCATGTATCATTCAAAAAATTTTTTAAAGAAAGGGAAGATGTCTCTTTTTGGTTTACCCACATATTTGCCATTTCTGGCTCTCTTCATCCCTTCATGTCCTCCCCGAGTTTTCATCTGGTTCATCGTCCTTCCTCCTAAAGAATTTTCTTCAACATTTCTTGGAATACAAGTCCAAGGGCAATGCCTTCTGTCAGTTTCTCATTTTTGCCTTCATTTTTTGAAAGGTATTTTCATTTGGTTTAGAATTCAGGGTTGATGGGGTTTCTTTTTTTTTCCTTTTAGCTCTTTAAAGACTCCATCCCAACGTTTTCTACTTTGCATAACTTCTGATAAATAGTCTATACTTTCTTATCTTTGTTCCTTTCCACATGGTATATCTTGTTTCTCTGACCTCTTTTAAGATTTTTTCCTTTATCACTGGTTTTCAGCAGTTGGATCATGCTGTGTCTTGGCATGGTTTTCTTTGTGATTATCCTATTGGGATGTGCTGGGAGTCTTGAATTGATGGATTTATAGTTTTAATCAAATTTAGAAATTTCTCAGACTTTTTACAATTAAAAATGTTTCTTGGGACTACAATTACATATATGTTAGGTTTCTTAGTTTTCTCCCCCATGTTAATTTATTCCAGTTTTTTTCTCTTTTTGAACTTGGCTTTGAAACTTGTGTTTAATGAAGCCTTTCAGGGCAGGTTTACATAGCCTTTCCTCTAAGGCTAACTTAGCCCCATAACTAACACTTGTCGCTTCTGAAGTCTGTATTTCATACCTCCTAAGGGCCCTTCACTCTGGCTGATGGAAACATGAATATCTCTGGCCCCATACAAGCTCTTGTTTGTCTTCTAGCCCCAGCCATTGGTCTTCCTCCAGCATCTGTTCTTCCAGTTTCATGAAGTTTCACCTATGCCTGTGCAGATTGGTATTCCACCAAAGACTCAGGAAGACACCTAAAAGATTCACCGAACTCTTTCTCTTCCAATTCTCTCCTGTCTGGTTTTCTATCTCACAAATTCTAGGCACCCTAGCTTTCCTGAACTGTGACCTTGACACCTCAGCTCAATGAGATAACTGAGTTCTGATTTCCTCTACCCCTTCCTCTCTGCTTCTCTCTTCCATAGTTACACAGTCCTCTGCTCCGCTCAGCCAGGCCCCAGCTTGTCTGGCTTTCCTTTAATGGAAGTCATTCCCTGTCCCCTGTGTATTCCACCTCTGATGCTCCAAAGTTCTCATGATGGGAAACCAGGCATTAAGGGTGGCCGATGTCCTGCTGAGTCAAAGGTCAGAGCTGGGGACCAACAACTTTTGCCACAAGGCACCTGCCAGGCTGGGTAACACCTGGGGATGGAGCTCTTCTTAAGAAGTGGCTTTTACTTTTAATGAAACCCCACTTATTTTCTCTGTCGACACAGATCTGGAAAAATCTCCCACATCTGAAGGCAGTAGTGATATATGGAGAGCCTCCTCCGACACAGATGCCCAGCGTGTACACGGTATGGGTAGAGTGACCTGGGGGCAGGTGGGGCCTGTGTGAACCCACCCAGCTCACCTGGACTGCCCCCACTCTCCCACCTGCTGCAGATGGAAGAGTTCATGGAGCTGGGGAATGAGGTGCCTGAGGAGGCCCTGGACACCATCATCAGCGCCCAGAAGCCTAACCAGTGCTGCGCGCTGGTCTACACGTCAGGCACCACTGGGAAGCCCAAGGGTGTGATGCTGAGTCAGGACAATGTAGGACGGAGGCCCAGATGCGTGGGGGTGGGCGGAGGGGGGGCCTGGACTGTGGCCTTGCCCCAGCAGCCCTTGAGGGGACTCCTTCAGCCCCTCTGTACAGGGAGCTGAGATAAGTACGACAGCTCTTAAGTCTGTGGTCCAGACTGAGCCCAGCAAAGTGGAGGGGGATGGAAGGGCAAGGCCTGGGCCAGAGGGGCTCCTGCAGAGATGCCCAGGAAGGTGTTCAAAGAACACTCCAAAGAAGTGCCCCAAGCTCCTAGGGTGGCCCCAGGTGTGGGCACTTCCAGAGCTAACTTGAAGACACCACCTGAGGCCCATTTGCCCATCCTCCAGATCACGTGGACGGCACGGTATGGCAGCCAGGCTGGTGATATCCAACCTGCGGAAATCCAACAGGAGGTGGTGGTCAGCTACCTGCCTCTCAGCCACATCGCCGCCCAGATCTATGACCTGTGGACAGGCATCCAGTGGGGGGCCCAGGTCTGCTTTGCCGAGCCCGATGCTCTGAAGGTCAGTCTGCCTCTCTGCCTGTACGTGTGCCCTTGTGTGTGCTTGTGTCTGTGGGCCCTGTGCGAGCATTTGTGAGCCTGCCGGTCCCCTGTGTGTTCACAGCCTAACTCAGATGACCGAACAGGAAGGGAACTTAGTGATATTATGTACAGGGAAGGTGAGTCAGGGTGGTTCTGTGGGTCCGCAGCACCATCAAGGACAGGACACCCTCAGTGTAAGATCACAGGATGGTCACCGACGGCCACAGCCCTGCCCTGCATCACGGTCTCCTACACTACACCTGTGCTTGTGCTCCTTCTTTTTTCCGTGAGGAGAATGTCCCCAGAAGCCCCCTAGCAGACTTCTTCCTCCCCCCACATTGGCCCAAATCATGTCCCACATCCACTCCTCAACTAGTCACTGCTTGTGTGTGTGCGTATTAAGTCTCTTTAGTCATGTACAATTCTTTGTGACCCTATGGACTGTAAGCCACCAGGCTCCTCTGTCCATGGGATTCTCCAGGCAAGAACACTGGAGTGGGTTGCCATGCCCTCCTCCAGGGGATCTTCCCAACTCAGGGACTGAACCTGCGTCTCTTATGTCTTCTGCTTTAGCAGGTGGGCTCTCTACCACTAGCGCCACCTGGGAAGCCCAGTCACTGCTTAGGGGAATGAGATGACCATGTCTGAGTTAGACTGATAGAAAAGTCACTGCCACCAGGACTGCCACCCGAGTACCTGAGCAACATCAGGGTTCTGTTAACAAAGAGGAGCGGGGAAGGGATGGCCGTTGAGTCCTAGCCAGTAGTATGTGATGTGAGTTGCGTGGTGTGCACCTGTGTGGGTGCCTGCGTGCAGGCGGCCTGCACGGGTGCATGCTGACTCTGTGGACAGGCCTCCTGGCTCCCAGCTGGCTCTCTGCCACAAGCCTGTCTCTCGCTGGTGGCGAACAGGGGAGTCTGGTGAACACGTTGCGGGAGGTGGAGCCCACGTCCCACATGGGGGTGCCTCGGGTGTGGGAGAAGATCATGGAGCGGATCCAGGAGGTGGCGGCTCAGTCTGGCTTCATCCGGCGCAAGATGCTGCTCTGGGCCATGTCGGTGACCTTGGAGCAGAACCTCACTTGCCCGAGCAGGTACAGGGGGCCAGGGAAGAAGAGGCCAGGGGAGGCAGCAGGGCTGGCTCATAACCCCCGGACACAACCTAGGATCTGAGAGGCCAGGCTTGTCCAGGCCCCTTCACAGAGGCCCTATCAGTGGCTGGGCTTGAGCCCCTGTTCTCCTCCCAGATCCCACAGGAGACAGTAACCCCATCTTTGGGTTCTGACTGCAAGGACTGACTTGCTCCCTCTGGAGTAGCATTCACCTCCCTGGGAGCAGGTTCTGGCAGTCTCCTGAGGGGACTCCAGACTTCAGAAGGTGGCTCAAGTAGAGGCCACAATGATGGGGGCTTTTCTAGCCTTCCCAACATCCCAATCTTCTGCCCGCAGCCTTTTGATTGCTTTTAAATTCTCACCCAGTGCTGTAGGAGGGTCAATAGCATAAATCTGGCCTGTTCCAATTTAGAAATGTTTTCCACCACTAGTGTGTCTAGTGTGAAACTGTATCGTGTCACATGTGATGTGTACACGTGTCTGTACCACTTCATTTGCATGGATGTGAAAAGTAAATATGTATAAACGACTCATTCAAGGGTTTCAAATGGGATCAGACACCTGTGTACACGTGTCCATGCATACATACTTCCAGTGTCTGCATGTGCATATTATTGTGTGTGCACTTTTGTGCATCTGTGTTGTCATACACAGCTGAATCTGTTTTTCTGACTTCCTGGCTCAAGATGTATTTGCACAAAACTACATGTATACATCCATGTGTGCATGCATGTTCATAGGAAGGGCCAATATTGAAAATATTTAGTGATGGATTCAGCATCACCACTAATCAATCAGAGTAGATAACTGAAATTGCCATTCAGGGTACCTGCTGACCACCCCCTCCCTTTTAATGCATGTGTGTGCATGTGTTGTCTTCTGTGAGCCATTCTCCCTCTCCCACCAGCGATCTGAAGCCCTTCACAACCCGACTGGCAGATTACCTGGTGCTAGCCAAGGTCCGCCAGGCGCTAGGCTTTGCCAAGTGTCAGAAGAACTTCTACGGGGCAGCCCCCATGACTGCGGAGACACAGCACTTCTTCCTGGGCCTCAACATCCGTTTATATGCGGGCTACGGCCTCAGTGAGACCTCAGGCCCCCACTTCATGTCCAGCCCCTACAACTACCGGCTCTACAGGTGTGTCCCAAGTTTTGGCACATATGCTGACCTGAACATCTTTGCTGATACCTGTCGGTGGCTATCTGCTGATTAGGACCCTGGGCCCAGACCACTGGACCTTGGATCCCCGAGTGCCAACAGCTCTATCTTGGGCCAAGTCCATTTGCCAGGCCTGAGTCTTATGGGGTGGTCCCTGTGACAGTGTCACACGGGTCTGTGGATGTAAACAGTCTCGCAGCCCAGGGGCTCCCTGAGCAGCGTTCTGAGGGAGGAACATCCCTTTGTTCCCTCCCTCCAGTAGCATGGGGTGTGTTAGAGGGTGTCCCAGCATTGTTGATGGTCCAAGCTCCAGCTGCGATGGGAGCTGGGGCGGGTGGAGGTGGGGGGGACTGGGCCAGTCCTCTGGTGAACTGGGAAGGCAGTCAGCTCTTGGGAGTGAGTTGAAGGATTCTCTGTTGTGCTTAAATATCTCCCCTCCCTGCCTGCCCATCACAGCACTTGAAGTTATCCCATCTAGATTTTGTCCATTCATTCATTCATTCACCTGAAAACCTTTAACTGGTCCTACCTCTTAGCTATGAGGAACCTATTAAAATACAAAAATCCCAGGAGGGGACATTCTAGCTGTCGATGAACACTGAGGGGTTGGGAGCCGCAGGGCTCCCTGTAGGGGTTGATCCAGGGCTTGGAGGAAACTGCTCCCTCTGACCATGCCTCCTGGCCCCTCAACACCCAGCTCTGGCAAGGTGGTGCCAGGCTGCCGGGTGAAGCTGGTGAATGAAGACGCAGAGGGCATCGGAGAGATCTGCCTGTGGGGCCGCACCATCTTCATGGGCTACCTGAACATGGAGGACAAAACGTGTGAGGCCATTGACCCTGAGGGCTGGCTGCACACGGGCGACACGGGCCGCCTGGATGCCGACGGCTTCCTCTACATCACGGGGCGTCTCAAAGGTGAGTGCCGCCAGCTGGGTTCGAGGCTGTGGTGGGACGTGGGAGCAATTATACTGCCACCACTATTTATACCCACTATAAGTGTTGAAGCTCTTAGTTAATGCCACATGCCTTGCCATCGATGAACACTTGAGAAGTTGGGGACCCCAGGGCTCCCTGGGGGGGTTGATCCAGGGCTTGGAGGAACCTGCTCCCTCTGACCAAGCCTCCCAGCCCCTCCACCCCCAGTTCCAGCAAGGTGGTGGGTGCCAGGCTGCCGCAGAGCTGAGAGGTAGGGCCAGTTAAAGGTTTTTAGGTGTATGAATGAATGGCCAATGAAAGACAGTGAATGAATGACATTGTTTTACTTACTATTGTCTCCCGTGGGAAAGATACTGCTATTACTCCAACCTAACTAATGAGGACAACCAGAGAGGTTAAGTAATTTGCCCAAGGTCACATACTAATAAATGACAAACTTGGAATTCAAACTCCTTCTGTAAACAAGGCAAGTGTTTCCAGAAAATTGGAGGATGTAATTTTGGTGGGGGGAGAGGAAGGGAGGGCATGCTTCTTGACTTGCAGGATCTTAGTTCCCCCACCAGGGATTGAACCTGGGCCCCAACAGTGAAAGCACTGAATCCTAACTACTGAGACATGAGGGATAATATTTTGTATTTCTATATGCAAACATGGATATGATGCAGAGTAGAAAACAAACTGGACATAAAATTTAAAATAAAGCATGAAACTTCAAATTTCCCTTGAGCAACTTGGCTCCCCCAGGGAAGAAAGTTGGGGACACCTCCAAGGAAGAGGTGCTTTATTTATGTTGTCCAATGCCCGCAGCATCCCTGTGGGAACCCCACACCTCAATTTCCCAGGGGAAACTGAAGCTCGGTGAGTGGGTGAATACCTTTCTGGAAATCATGCAGGCAGGTGTGTGATCGAACCTGGGTCCTTCTGACCATAGAGGGTCAGCTCTCCAGGCAGAGTCTGGGTGTACTTGTCCTGAGCCCCTGTACTAAAGCCTATGCTGGGGGCCTGGCCTTGCCTCCTCAGAGTTAATCATCACGGCTGGTGGGGAGAACGTACCCCCTATGCCCATTGAGGAGGCCGTGAAGACAGAGCTGCCAATCATCAGCAACGCCATGCTGATTGGAGACCAGAGGAAGTTCCTGTCCATGCTGCTCACCTTGAAGGTGTGTCTGGGGGGTGGGGGAAGGAGCAGCCAGTGGGTGGTCTGTGAGTCTAGCCCTGGGCAGAAGCAATGTTTGGCCAAGACAGTGTGGATGTCACAACCGTATTCTGGAATAAGTTGTCAGTTCTGCCCATACTACGGGGCAGCTGTGGCATACAGGAATCCCTTCTGCCCCATGTTAGAGTTAGTAATAGTAATGTGCTGTTTTGGTGATCCTGGGTTTTCTAGTACAGTCCAGTGTACAAAGTGCTATATACACCTCCCAGTCTGGTGTCTGGTATCTGATTCTGGGGTAGTAGACGGGCCCAGAGTTGTGGCTCCTGTTTTAAAAGATGATCTCATTGGCTGAGGTCATCTAAATCTCAGTCCTTCCTTCCTTCCACCTGCCCTAAAGGGCTCAAGCAGTCTGAGTAGCATGTCCTATTCATTCTAAAACCAGCTCTCTGAAACATCTCACAGTGTTCCGCATCTGGGACGGTCAGCAGTGAGACCTCCTCCAAGGCCCGGGCACGTGACCTGTGCAGTGAGGCTTGGTTCTGATCTGTCTCTGGCTTTTCAGTGCACTCTGGACCCTGACACCTTTGAGCCCACGGATAATCTGACGGAACAAGCCGTGGAGTTCTGCCAGAGGGTGGGCAGCAAAGCCACCATGGTATCTGAGGTTGTGGGGAAGAAGGATGAGGCCGTGTATCAGGCCATCGAAGAAGGGATCCAGAGAGTCAACATGAATGCAGCTGCACGACCCTACCACATCCAGAAGTGGGCCATTCTTGAGAGGGACTTCTCCATTTCAGGTGGAGAGCTGGGTAGGTGTTTTCTCTACACAATTGCAGGGGCTGTGCAGGTGGGCAGAGGCCATGGCAGAGCCTGGGAGGTGCCCAGTAGGAAGCAGCCTTGGCAAACCAAAGGTCCCTGATGGCACTTCAGGTGACACCTGCCTCCTTCCTGTGGGAGGACCTTGACTGCTAAGTGCTTGGGCTCGTGTTTGGGTAGAGCCTGTTCAATGTACATGTGCTGGAACTCATTCATTTGAACACATGACATTTAACTTTGCTTTGACTAAGAAATCGTTTTCCTCTGAAAGCACAGTGGGACCACCAGGCAGACACCAAGGCCCTGTTAGAGTTTGGGCTAGCATTTCACCTGGCTCCAGGGAGTGAAAACACCATAATCTTTTGCAAAGGCAGCTCATGCAACAGGTAAAGGGATGAAACCCTTCTGGACCAATGGCCCACAGAATCAGAAAAGACCTCTGGTGTGGCCTCTGCCGGATGGATGAAGTCGCTCTTGGCTGTGGCATCTTGGGGTGTTCATGACACAGGGCGAGGTGGAAATGGCTTTTTCAATGAGACTCCTTCCAACCGGTCAAGGCTGAACCCAGAGGCAACTATCTACAGGAATTCTGAGCTGCTATCAGAAACCCTGAGCTTATCTGGCTGTCTGGCGCTAACAAATTGAATGTAAGGTCAACCAGACAGATGTCCTCTCTAAGCAGTTTCTATAAATGGCTTTGATCTTGAAGTCTCCAGTTACACAGCCAAGTATGAGTTAGCGCAAAATGGAATTTAAGCTACCCAAAGCAGAGCCCTTTCAGCCTTGCCTTAGAGAAGAGAACCAAGGCCAAGAAAAGTGATACTTGGAAGACCTCTCATAAAGACCATGGCAGAGGCCCTCCCTGGGCCAGGGCTTTCCCCTGCCCCCATCGCAAGCAATCAAAACAATGTCCAACATCGTATTAGTGATCACTGAAATGCAGGGATGATCTGCCTATTAGTTATGTCATGTAAACTACCCAACTTCCTCTGTATTCTACTGGCCACTTAGACCAACTCTGGTACAGTGTGGGAAGGAGCCACACAAGGGGTGTGACTGCCAGCTTCAGGGATCACCATGGGCCATTTTGGAGGCTGGCTACTTGTTGATCTGGCTTAATTCCAGAGTTATGGAACTTAGTGAGTCTAGAGCTTTACCACATAACCTTCACAGACATCTCAGAGCCCAGGCCTCACTCATCTCTTCCAATTTCTCTTAGGTCCCACAATGAAACTGAAACGCCTTGTAGTCCTGGAGAAGTACAAAGATGTCATCGATTCCTTTTACCAAGAGCAAAACAAGTAAGCAGGGGTCATCCCTCCCTGGTTTCTCCTTAAGATGGCAGGCTGAGCGTCTTCCTGACCCCCAGGTCCTCTTCGGTCTGGGCACATGGACTTCTGGCAAGTCTCTTAGGTTCTCCAGGTTAGGTACAGTCCTGGTATCTGCCAGGTCTTACACCAACAATAGTCAACAATCCCGAGAAGCTTCATGTGTCAACAGTTTTAAGTACTGCTTTTTGTTCAGGTGACAATGAGATTAGCTCTCCTTCCAGAACTAAAGGGCTGACAGTTTGGGACCTTAGCTTCAGGTAGATTTAACAGGCTGCTAGCTCACTTCACCGGCCAGCTGGAGGCAGACTGGATGCCAAGGGGAGGGAGGAGAGGGAAGACGGCTTTGATGAAGTGTGCAGCCAGGAAAGCCTCAGTTGTGACTCCCCTAACGGCCTGGCTTACTGTGGACTGTCATTGGATGCTGCCGCTCCCATCATCCCGTTACCAGGCATTCCATCAATGCATACGCCCACTGACTCTGATGCTTAATAAAAGTGCTGCTGCCTATTTGATTGTATTTAATGTGTAACTTGAAATTAAACTTTTTAACAGAACTGTCAACAAGCACCTGATTTTGTCAACTGAGCAACAGATGAGTCCAGAGTGGTGGGTATTTAGCCCACAGGACAGTGTGCAATAGGTATACAAGTGACCTTTAGTGCCCTGAAATAAGCAAAGGTGAGGGAGGGGGTCAAGGGGAATGTTCTCGTGAAAGCGGTTAACTGGTGCTAGTCTGTCACCACTATGCCCTCTCCGCCCACTCTGAATATTTCAAGCAGCCATCCTTAGTAGCAAGCTGAGCCAAGATGAAACAAGGCATCTAAATGGGTAGAGGAAAGCATACAGCTCAATTAGTTTGGGAATTCTTTATTTGTATAAACTGAAGGGTCACTGATAATTAGCACAATTCAATAAAACAGAAGCAGCAGCAGTTTAAACAAAGTAAAATACACATAAGATTACTTGTCTGGTTACGAGCTTCAAAAAAGGACCCAGACAGGAGTATTGGTTGTGGTTAAAAAACCCCCTTGTGACAACGCAAAGCCACAGGTTAGAGATGTTACACAAAGGTCAAGGAGGACATGAGTTGCCTTTGGTGTTGGACCAAAGGGTTCATGAAAATAGTGACTCAGTGTCTGAAGATTAAAGACAAATCATGCTAAAGGTGAGGAACAGAGGAAGGATGGGGAGGTGCCTGAAGCTCAAAAGCTGAGCCAAGCCCCAGGGTAGCACAATTTTGTGAAATAATTCAGGCTGAGTTTGCAGCTCCTCTTTCCCTGGTGGTGCTGAGGCAGAGGGCAGTGATTTGGTGCTTTGGGGAAGGAGAAGCCACTGAAGTGTAAAATTAATAGCCAGTACTCCAGGTTCCTAAATTGCAGTCAAAATTTATATGGTGAGGCCTGTTAGCCATATCAGTGGGAGTGTGGTCCACTTCCGGTCAGCGACAGACAGGCTGCAGAAGAGGGACTGCTCCCAGGCCCAAGTCAGGGTCCCCCAAGGGACCAAGGGGCAGGGGGTCGAGGGCTGTGTTTTGTACCGTGCTTGATACACGTCCAGTGGAAAGGAAGGACCACCCCTTCACTTCATTAGAAGCTCTTACCAAGAACAGTAAATCTCAAGATAACTAAAATAACTGAACACACAATCCACCTGTGTCTTTGTACCCGATATATTACCTGTATCCTATGAACAAAAATTACATCTCTCATTAGATATTTCTCCCATCCAAAGTCTTTATTCATACTCAGTAATTTATGTAAAGTACAAATCAGTCTTTACTTTCCATATCGCTAAGAAATATACCATATTCACTGTTTTTGATATAAACTTTCCCAGGAAATTTCTCTTGTGCCCATTTAGTTTTATAAGAATATCCTCTCGTGCTATTATGCCAACATTCTACTTTATCTCCATTATATTTTTCGTAAACCAAGAATATCAGTGTTTTTCTTTAAAAAGTTAGATGTTTTCTCTTAGTATTTCTGTATCATGATATTTACAGTGAAAGAAAAACTATCTTAACTGAAGCATAAAATGGTTAACAACAGCAAATGATAACAGTTCACTTGAGAGTTTACAAAAAATGTATACCAGATAGACATTTAATAAATAAAACAAGCACTTGGAAGAAGTCCTTTGAAAGCAGGCCTAGGGACATTACCTGCATCCTCTGCACAGTTCTGTTAAGAAAAAGGCCAGGTCTAAAAATGTACTCTGTCAAGAAACAAGCAACAAATGCATAAATGCATACATAATGGGAAGTATTCTAACACAGGCTGATGTGGCGTCCGCTAGGAGTGACTGATGCAGATACCATCTGTAGAAGCCTTAATCTAAATCTTTTACTCGCCGACAGATTTCGTCTGTGAAGTCTGAGCATTTTGAATTGCCTCCCAAATCTTTGGTTAAGCTCTGAGAAAAAGAAAAGGCAAAGACAGAAAACGTACCCACATGTTAAACCAAAGCAAAAAATGTTTTTATTTAAAGTCCTCAGTGAGACACTGGCTGAGTGAGTTACCTGGCTACTTGTTCATTTAGTTCCTCATTTCAAAGTGAGACTGGCTCCACCACCATCCACCTACCCCAAGCAGACTTGGAAAAGCTAATTGGATAGTGCACACAGAAACACAGCGAGAATGAGAACAAGTCTCTTGGGACTTCGCTGGTGGTCCAGTGGTGAAGAATCTGCCTTCCAGTGCAGGGGACATGGGCTCAATCTCTGATCAGGGAACTAAGATCCCAGGAGCTGCAGAGCAACTAAGCCCGCACAGCACAACAAGAGAAGCCACTAGCATGCCTCAACAAAGACCCAGCACAGCCAAAATTAAAAAACAAAACAAAGCAAGATGCTCTCACCCCAAAGGGAAGGAGGGAGGCTTTCCAAAGTTTTTCCCTTGATCTGTACAATAGATTTTAAGGAAGCATTTGATCACGGACATATCATTGACAGTAAATCTAAACAAGAGGTTGCATAAATCTCTTGGGGAATTTAATTTTTTTTTTTTTAAACACATTTTGACCTATTTTTGGAGGCTGAGAAACCAATACTAGGAAAGTATTTAAATGACTAACTCTTCAATTCCCCCCTTTAGGAGAGAATTCCTCCCATTTCCCCTGTTTTCTACCAGCTTATGCTCTTTACTCCCAAACAGAACTCAATATATTTAATTCTCTCGTTTCATCACATCCTATGCAATTTAAAGAGCCTACTGTGTAATTTAGGCATCTCTCTCCTGGGTTATATGAGTAGCTTCCCTAATACAGCGTCAGAACAAAAAATATATATAATCACATGCCCTTCAATATGACTGTATCAGGCTGTTAAAAACAAGCTTGGGTTTCTTATGTTTTGGCCACAGAAATTTCAAAGTACAGAATTTTAAAAAAAATAAGCAGCAAACCTTGAAGACAAACCTTGTGCTAAGTGAAGTAAGGCAGTCAGAACAGTACAAGTGTGTGATTCCGCTTACGTAAGGTACCTAGAGCAGTCATATTTATAGAGACAGAAAGTAGAATGGTGCTTGCCAGGGGCTGAGGCAATGGCAGAAAATAGGGAAATCATTGTTTAATGGGGACAGTTTTGGTTCAGGAAAATGAGTCTGGAGATGGATGGTGGTGAAGGTCACACAACAATGTGAAAATACTGGGTATTTAATACCCAGTAGACTGTGTACCTCAAAAATTATTAAAGTGGTCAATTGTGTATTATGTGTACTTTATCCTTTTTTAAAATGATAACTTTTTTTTTTTAATGAAGAGATCTTATGCTAAGGATCAGTTTTTCGGGCCCAGCCTTGTAAAGCCATGATCTTCTCCATTCTCCCACTTTCAGAATAATCGATCACAACCCTCCCACGGGCTACAACTGCTTATGGAAACAGTGAAGCTTGTTGGGTAAGAGCCAGACTAGGTGTGAACCCCAACTCTGCCAGTTAGGAGCTGTGAGAACTTGGACAAACTTAACTACTCTCTCTGTGCCTTGGTTTCCTCATTTATGTGCTCAGTCACTTCAGTCATGTCTGACTCTCTGATGCCCCATGGACTGCACCTGGCCAGGCTTCTCTGTCCATGTGATTCTCCAGGCAAGAATACTGGAGTGGGGTGCCATGTCCTCCTCCAGGGGATCTTCCCAACCCAGGGATCGAACCTGCATCTCCTGCATTGGCATGTGGGTTCTTTACCACTAGCACCACTTAGGAAGCCCTCATCTCTAAATGGGCTTAATTACAGTATCTGTGTCACAGAGTAATAGAAATTTGCTGAGATTATATGTGTGTGTGTCTGTGTGTGAATATACACACACACACACACACACACATATATACATAAAGAATATAAGATCATGTAAGCATTCAATTAGTATCAACTATTAATACATCTATAAAACTTCTATATTACTTTTATATCACAGATGCATATAAAGTAACACAGAGCACCACTGTATTACAGACACATCTACATCTTGCTAGATTTCAAGCTCCTTGAAGTCTAAGACCTTACCTTATTCCTTATTTTATTATATCCTCCATACCTTATAATGTATGCAATAGATGTTTGCTGGAAAGAGGAAAAAACTACCGAGAAAAATTATTGGACTTAGCCAAGATCCCATGGGTAGCAACAGGAATAAGCAGGTCTGCCCTGCTCCAACCCCTACATCACTGTCCTTCCCACTGCACACTGGTGCCCCTGCCTCAGTGCCTCTCAACCCTCCCCTGATGAAACACATGGGTCCTCCCTTCAGAAGATGCAACATGTGCACACCCCCCGAGTTCACTCAGGGAGCCTGAATTAGGGATGCCTGCTTGACGCCCAATCCTTTTGCCCTCTTGAGAAGAATCATCATCTGTCCTTCACATACAAAACCCAAGGAGGAAATGAATTTCATCCAGCACAAGTGTGGCAAGATCACTGATACCTTTCCATCCTTAATTGTAGCAAAACATGCCGTCTCAATCTTTGCGGCATGGTCAAAAAGCCCCATGTGGCGCAGCATCATCACGGCGCTGAGCAGGAGGGCCGTGGGGTTGGCCATGTCCTTGCCCGCGATGTCTGGGGCGGTCCCGTGAACCTGCAGTGGTGGGGGTTGGGGGGCGCACAGTCAGAAGGGGGACAGAAGTAAACAGCTCTCCTCCGGGGAAGCTGGGCTCTTAATCAGCTTTCCTCTCTGATGGAAAATAGCTATAGAACAGCTATCCAGACACAGGTTTTAGAAATAAAGCCTCAGAAAAATGAAGAGCTAAAGTAATTTTTTTTAAGTGTAAAAAGACGAATGAACAATCTTATCCAGTGAACTTCTGGTAAAATATTTTAACTGAGGAAGGAAACATGATAAATAATAAGGATACAAAAGAAACCAGAGGGAAATGAATGAATAAACTGAGCTTATACAAAAAGCTAAACAAAGCTTCACTTTCTTTTGACAACTGGAAAAACTCAAGCGTTAACAGATACTTATGCAGACAATCTCTCTTGGGTTCTCATGTCACTCTGACTTGAATTCTGCTTCAGGTGTCACCAGGGTCCTTACCGACTCGAAGATTGCAACTCCATT